TTTTTTTTTTTTTTTTCAGTGGTGTGTTTTAGTCCTTTTTTATCAGAAAGCTGAGCAAATCTGTCAGCGGCCTTTTTGAATTTTCTCTATTAATGGTATATGATCTGATTGCCTACTAGTAGTAGAGTAGCCAATCAGAGCAAGCGATTGCTCATATCCAGTGGTTTTCTATATAATAATCCTTCTTGATACTTCATCTCGCAACGATTGACATAAACAATAATATTCACATTTACCTTATAGCTGGAAGAATAGTTGCGCTAGCAGACTAGTGCTTTTATTCTATCAACGGGGAATTTATGACTGGGGCATATAACCGGGATTTTACAGTGTAGTTTATTTGATGATTTGCAAGGATATATTGTACTTTAACTTTACAAGCTTTATAACTTTGACCATACATTTATATTCTGTGATGATGTTAGTTGAGAAAGCAGGATGGATGCAGATTCTAATGACCACGAGTTGGTTTATTGAACCGCCGTTTTGTTTTATTTATTTATTTTTTCCCAAAATACATAGGGAACCCATATTCCACTAATGAAGATGCTAACCAAGGGAACCCATATGCTAATAATTTTGGTGATACTACAATTTATGCGTAAAATACAATTTTAGAGACCGATAATGAGAACGTTAGACAAGCATCGATCCACGACCTTTCTTGTCGTTGTCTTATGCTAAAAATTTTGTTTGTTTTTCTCCAACAGTTTCGATCGGGTTTTCAAAGACATCTCTAACTGTGTCAGAGAGTGACAGTAATGTGACAGTGTGTATGAACAGACAAGGTGAAGCCATGAACCCAAGAGGAGGAGAAGTATTCTCGGGAACACTAGGTGTAAGGTAAAATATGATCTTGGCAGGAGAGAGGGGGTGTCTCTAGGCAAATGGCTGGAGCAGTGTTGTTTCCATTCGTGACGTCCACGTTCCAGCTTTCTGATTTTCGAAATGGTGGCGAGTTTTGAAGACGGATAGATGAAGACTAAAAAGGTCTAAATATTTTTTATTAAGACGACTTTCTGTCTTGATTTAGCAATCAACACACATTTTAGTTATTGTAGAATATGTTTTACAAGTTATTCTACGGATACCTTTGAGAAAAGGTATGTTTTTACGAGCTGAAACTTTGAAATATAGTGCCGAAAGGACGTCGAGCTTCGATGTCTAATTTTAAGAAGAAGAACATCAAGAATCAACCCCCAAAAAGGAGGTTCAATWAAAGCGATATCAAGCATTATCCATGCCGTTTCTCTGTGAAGTTTGTCTTCTGGAACTCCATATCTTTCCCTTCAAAGCTTTTATGGGGCCCTAGAGACAAACGGTRCACCGCGGCACTGTTATGATAAATGATAAATCTTTTGCGATTCCGCATAATTCCAGGCACCTGAACTTATCTAAGGCCCGGTTCATACGCCGAACTTTTCATGCGCCGAATCGAATGCTAAGAATTAAGACCATGAAAAGTACGACGTCTCAACCAATTACGTTCAACCATAATATTAAGATCGAACCAATCGTTAAGATCGACTGAAGCGGTCGGAAATTACGACTTCGGAGCTGCTATACTCTGATTCAAACGACGAACTTTTCATGAACCGAACCTAATGCATATATTATATTTAATCACGATATGCTTGACTTGGAAAAATCTAATTRGATCGACTGAATTTGGAACGACGTCTGAATCAAAAGTAGATATTTGACGATCTTTGGTCGATCTTCAACGTGTTAGGTTCGGTTCATGAAAAGTTCGACRTATGAACCGGGCCTAAAATAGCATGAAAACCATTGCAGGAACGCTCTGCAAGGCTGAGCGAAGAAAAGTATTTTCTGATTTTGTTGCTAGTAATAATTATAAATAATAAGTAAGAATTTCAAAATACGTTTAGATATGCATARAAAACTCCTTTTTGACAACCTGTCTTGCCGTTGAACAACCTTGATTCTTAAAATGACCTAAGTATCGAAATAAAATCTTTAAAGATAACAAAATT